CAGAAAGATCCTGCAATTTTTCCTGATGCTCTTCATGCGAGGACTTTAGTTAATGAGGTTATTTTCTATTCTTTTTTATCTGATGAGGTTCGTATTTGTGCAAGGAGGTTGGTTAGTTATGGTTGCTGGAAAGTGAAAATTAGTCTTCCTGGAATCAATAATGTATTTATTGTGTAACTGATTCTAGATTCTAGGTAATGGTGCGTTTTTCCCTTTTCACTCTTCATCTCCACTGATTTTGTGCTTATCTTGAGTTTTGTATAGGTTGATAGAAAATTGGTTAAGCAGACAGTGATGACATCAGTGTATGGTGTCACTTACATTGGTGCACGGGAACAGATAAAGAGGAGATTGAAGGAAAGGAATGCCATTCCAGATGATACAGAGCTCTTTGGTGCTTCTTGTTATGCTGCAAAGGTTTGAGGGTTAATTGTGTTTTAAATACCTATTAGGTGTATATTTGTTGTTTGTTTCATCTTTATTCCCTTCTCACTTCTTAGGTCACTTTAACCGCCTTAGAGGAAATGTTTCAAGGTGCGCGAGGTATCATGAACTGGCTTGGTGACTGTGCAAAAGTATGTTGTATTACTCTTGTACTGATTTGTGCACACTGTGCATATTCTTATAGGTGGAAATGGAGAGAGAACAAAATGTATTTTGAGTTGTATACTTAGTTTATGGTATTAATGACTAAGACAATTTGAACAGATAATTGCATCTGAAAATCAACCAGTACGCTGGAGCACTCCTCTTGGACTTCCTGTTGTTCAACCTTACCGAAAACTAGGATCACATATTGTGAGTGAATAGAGTTTTGTTGGAATTGCATTCTTGATACTTCTTCCAAGTTCTTAGGATTTCAAGGGTCTGTGTAGGTTAATAATCTATTATTATTGTGCTTGCAGATCAAAACTTCACTTCAGATGTTGTCATTGCAACGAGAAACAGACAAGGTATGTGAAGTTTACATCATTATTTTGAATAACATTGGGATCCCCTTCCCCAAAACCGTAATTCCCATGTTAATCTTAAATATAAATATCTTGCTACACGAGAGTGTGTGTGTGAAGATGCCCATTGATTGGTTGCTATGATCAAATCTTGGAAATCCAACTTTTAGCTTCTTGGTCAATGTTCCTGAATTGCTTTTTTTTAATAGGTCAAGGAGCTGGTAAAAAACAATTTTTTCTCAAAATAAACTGAAATAACAGTATTTGTTATGTATTTTGTACACTGCAATTTTCAGAATTTTCAAATAGCATAATACCATGAACATTGCGTGATTTTTTATTTGATATAACCTTTTTAATTAATATCAAATTTTCTTATATTGCACATTGAAATTACGTTCATCAATTTGTGTACGTAAAAAATCTATATGAAAGTTTTAACAACTTTGTTAACTGAGCAGAAAAAGGAAGACATGGGAATATTTTGTAGAAAAACATAAAAAATGATTGCGGGTAAAATTACTTACAAGGAATAATTTATGATAGGAATTTGTGATTCCAGTGCGTTGGAAGACTTCACATCATGCACATTGGTCCTTAATGAGATGCCCATGGTCATTTCAAATATTTTCATCTTCATATAAACTTTGGGGTTTGGCATTTTAATTTACATTTTTCAGATTTAAATTGTCTGTTTTCAATTCAAATATTATAGGTCATGGTTAGGAGGCAGAGGACAGCATTTCCACCAAATTTTGTTCACTCGCTTGATGGTTCTCATATGATGATGACTGCGGTTGCCTGCAAAAAGGAAGGCTTGAATTTTGCTGGTATTTCCTTGATTGGCCCTTTCTATTGTTCCCCCTTTTTCAGTACAGGACCCTTGCTGGGGTGTAGGGCCAGCTCCACCACTAAATTGGTGCCTGGGGTTGATGTGCTATACCCCAGATAGAGAGATGCTGAACCCCTTTACCAAGAATTTGAACGAACAAGGGAACCAAGCTTGTGGTGTTCCATTCGTATTTAGTTATTAAATTATTATGCCGATGATGAATAATTTGTACTGCATGCTTGTAGGGGTTCATGATTCATATTGGACGCATGCATGTGATGTGGATAAAATGAATAGATTACTGCGAGAGAAGTTTGTAGAACTCTACGAGAACCCAGTACTGGAAAATGTATGGTTTAAATGCTCATTATTTATATCCAATGCTTTTGTTCCTATCAATTAAAATCATATTTGTGGTGAAACTTATTGCATTAGTGGTAAATATTCTTAAAGTGAATTGGCCCCAGCCTGATTGACGATCCTAGATGTCTGTAAATGAATAACAGATGTTTCTTTGCGGAGTGTGCATTGTTTTCTGAGATTTCAATAGTATTCTCTTTTCTCATAAAGATGGGAAAACCATGGCACTGTTATTTCGAAAAGATGTGTGGACTCTGAAATTTTTTTTTGGATTGCAAAAGAAAGGAATTAGTGCGGCATCTTACATTGTTATTTAATTATAATCATATATTTTTTCTTAATCTTGTGTTGTTTTGATAAGTTATACATTTGGATTTCTCATTTATTTTGTGAACAGTTACTGGAAAGCTTTCAGAGTTCTTTCCCATCACTAACTTTTCCACCCTTGCCTGAACGAGGAGACTTTGACTTAAGGGAAGTTTTAGAGTCACCATATTTCTTCAACTGATCACCATCTGCAGCCTTCTCTAAGACTTGGACTGTGTCTTTTAGGGCTCACTGACATCTCATGTTATTTCTGTGTGAGCATGGCAAGGACAGCTCTTTTGAAATATCCATTATGGAGAGGCTATTTCAATGGCGGTGTATATATATTCAAAGGCATCCAGAGCCTTGAGGAGTACCTTTATGGTATGATAGGAAATCCACCTCTTGCTAACACATTATACGAGTCAGAAATCTTTGATGCTGCTGCAGCTTTCTGAAGGCTCCCAAGAATAGCCAAAGGTTTGAAATTTCCATTTCCGTCCAACGAATTTCATTTATTAATTTTAAGGGTCTGGAGTATCATTACCAATGGGTGGCGAGTCTGTGACAATTGTGCTCACAGTCACCGTGCGGCAGCGCATCTTGAAATCAGCAGGGAATTCTACCTGTTCATTCTCATTGTCACAAGTTTTTTTTTTAATTTTTTTTTGTAAATATGAAGAAAATAATTTTGCTTGGACTAGTGTACGTACATGATTTATAGTATACGTGTATCAACCTGTAAAAGCTTAGTGATTAATCCATGCCATATTTGTCACCGGTCATCAGTTCAAGATGGTTAATGCTGACAAAGGTTGATGCACTATTCATTTGACTTATTCTGGTAATGAAATAATCCTCCAACAAAGGGTTGGATATTACCAAATTAGTCGTAAAGTAATGTTCTTTTAAATAGTCCATAAAATAATATAATTATACAAGTAATTTCCATATATACGTTAATTTAGCACTGTTTATATATTTGGCTAATTCATAGGATTTTTATGATATTTGAAGACTATTTAATATGAATTTAATCAAGAGATTACTTATATAATTTTTTAGGGACCATTTGTGATAGAAGATAATACTTTAACGATGATTCATTCTTAAAATGAGTGCCGAGGCATTGCTTCCAATGACAAGGAAAGAACTAAACTTTTTTTGTTGTGTACTCTTTATCAAACTTGAATTTGGTATTTATAATTGAAAAACTAATCAAAATTTTGAAAGATAAGTAAATTCAGTTTTTGTTTTAGTTGTGAAATAAAAATAGTTACTAAATACTAAATTTCAGTATGAAATTAAAGACATAAAGGTATAAGGCCAAAAAATTCTTACCTAATTATAATATATAAATCACGACTTCAAAAGAAGTTTGCTCATAGGCTGGTTTTACGATTTCCATATCGCATGTTTTTGTTGATGTCAATCTTTGGCTCCTAATTTCTCCCCATTCCTCTCACAAGTGACGTTTGTCATGCCTCGTTCAATTCTCCTTTCTCGCCAACTTTAATAGTTATTATTTTAGATCAAAATTTTCTTAACTCATGTCGGCATCAGTGTGTTATTCTTAATTGTTTTTTTATGTTTTTAATTTGTTTGTTATATTTTTTATTGTCGTTAAACCATATAAATCAGTATGTAGCAGAACACAACCAGGTCGCAAATGACATACAGAGCTGAATTTGTTCTGGTCAAGCGTCTAATGCAGGCTGATCTAGTTAATGACAATCTTAACTTTCATAATCAAATGAGTTCAATAATGATGCACGGTTCATCTACAAAATGTTCATTCCATTAGCCGAAAAGAGAATCGTACCGATAATTAGCGTAGCATAGTTACTATAATTCTAACAAATATCTCTTCCATATCAAAGTATTTTTCCCCCCCTCATTTGAGGTTCAATAGTCATCTTTAACTATTTTGTCCCGTATAATGTCCAATAGCTACGCAGATAATTTTATTGTCAACTTCACGGGTATTTTAGCTGTATCAATACAGCTAACATTATCAGCCGTACTTAACCATGTATTTCTCTGTATTGTTCTTAGTATTTAACCATGTTTAACGAGAACTATAAAAAGAAAACTAAGAATTTTGTTGAAATTTATGAGTGCAGGCAGCCTTTGATCTGAGTAATATCGGTAGACACTTATCACAGCTAAAAAGTTATAACAAAGCCCTCCTCTGAAAAGCACCGACATTTTATAATGGCATCAAAGCAGGCATTACATTCCAAAGGACAGTAGCACGAATTTTGGGTCTAAACTGCTTTGTTATTTGTAATCAGAACAGGAATGGCGTAGCCTGCCTCATTCAAACCTCTACTAAGAACATGCGGCAAGCATTTGACAACGGTATCAGTGAAGTTCATCTGTCTGTCACTACATTTAAAAAGCTTTTCAAGCCACCATGTGTCTGCTACATCAGTCTTTTCACCAACAAACTTCATCATCCTTTCACTTCTTTAAAAGGGATTTGAAGTCACTGAAAGTCATATTTAACCAAAACCCCGCTTTTGAGTAAGTATGCCTGCTCCCTCGCCAATATACATAGGTAAATGTTCACATCAACCGACCTTAGTAGCCAAATCTATCATTCAAGGAAGTACGTCCATCACCTGATTGTCCTGCACAAAGCAAAGCAATGTATGATCGTCCAATAAAATGGCAATTCAAGCACATGGTCAGATCTGAACCAAAATGTTTTTACCTTCAGGTGGAATCCACGAGTCATAATCCATCTCATTATTCAAGAAGGACGGTTTCTCAGGCCCAAGCACTCGTTTAGGGCCCCTCCTTTCTTGGGCTTCACTTCTTTCCTCCTCCTCATCAGTATACAGCCCCCTATTGTGCTTCAATAATAGTGCCACAGCATCCTCAGCCATTTTTTCCCCTGACGTGGAAGATGTCAGTTGTTGAGAGGTGTCATTACTATTTGCCGTGGTTGTCTCAACTTGCTTCCGTTTCCTTAAAATTAGACCAGCAGCAGACTCAATTTTAAATTCCGCAGAAGCCTTTGAACTATCACCACTGCCCAAAATTTTGCCCCTGTCCTTGTAGTCCACAAACTGATTGGACTCGTCAGTGTCACCCACGTTCAGTGAGGGCATCGACTGTTGGGTATCATCTGCAACTCTATCCTCTACAGCTCCAAGCCATTGGGGCTTTGGTACAGCAAATACAACATTCTCAGCCTCCAACTTGTCACGGCCAGGTTCTGACTTGTCTAAACCCGATGTTGCAGCTATAGCTTTTTCTCCTTCTATACAGTCATCTGATTTGACAGAGGTCTCGCTAATCTGGGTTTCCACAGGTGGTTTCTTAACTTTCCTGTTATCTGCCTTTGCACAAGGCTCAGTGCTTGTCTGTGCTTCTACAGGTGGCTTCTTCTTGACGATAGAGATATTTTCAGATTTTTTTGGTTTGGGTTCTTGAGCCATCAACTCCCGCTTCTTGGAAGCTTCTCCTGTTGGGTCAGCAATCTTCAACAGGTAGCATACTCTATCAAGCTCAGACTGAAGAGTTGACAATTCCTTTTCAAGTTGCACACTTTTATCATGCACTGACAGAAAAGAAGATCAGAATGGGTAAACACAGACAATTCTCTCTAGGTGCAATTTAAGACATGACGCTGCACATAATGATACATAAAGTGAGGAAAAATGAAACTAGGTACCGAAGACATTGAAAGGTTAGTATAATTAGTTAAAGGAACTCACCTAGTTGAGATGACAGCCCTGACATGTACGCATCAAGTGAGTCATCAACTTCATCTTGGGTAGCACTCTTTGACTTTGACAACATATTGTTCTTTTCAATCATAAGCAACTCTCTCTTTTCATTCATTTCATTGGTGATGGCATCTCTCTTATCAAGAAGAGTATCTGCAGTCTCAACAGATTGGTTGTCACCAAGTTTCTGATGTGAAGGCTTTTTCTTGGTACGGTCATAAAATTCATCATCATCACTGAACAATACAAGTAAATACCAACGTGCACTTTAGTTTTGGTACATCACCAGCAGCATGACAAAGTCAAGCAAGCACACTAAACATATTGCACTTGCTTCACTCCAAAAAAACAAAAGATTCCAAATATATATACAAGCAATTAAAGCATTTAGTAGCAGTTAATATTCAGGAATGAAACTCATCTCCAAAAATTTTACTTTCACAAAAATGACTTCCATCAATGATATTTATACCTAACATATTCTTCTTCTTCTTCAATTGCGCCTTTCTTCTTGCCATGAGACATTTTTCCTGTACGTGCACCAAGGCTCTCTCTAATACTATCATTCAATGTCTCTTCCAAGTTCTCGAGTTCTTCCAATATCTATTCCATTAAAAAATTTCAGCTAATAAGCTCACGTGACAAATATTTACCCAATTAAAAAGATAGCATGATGGGAAAAAAATTTATAATTCTAAAACCGCTGACAATCACAGAATATTAAGAACAATATATAAGGTTCTAGTCAAATTTATTCTTCTCTGATACCTGCGTTATTCTCTGTTCATTCCTAGCAATTTGAACCTGTTGACCTTGAGTTAATCCACCCTGAGAAATGTCTTTAACTCGTATAGAATTTATTTCTTTCTTCATATTAGCAATCTGAACAAAGGAAGAGAACACAAATGACTATCATGGTTAATAGGTGTTAAAGTATGCGACTGTGTGCATCATTTTGTCTTTTGGTTACATTATATTGTAATAGTTGCAGCTTAGTTAGACCCGTTAGTATAGTTAGCTGCCTAGACTAGTCTAATAGTATGCATATAAAAAATATTGGAATCCCTAGACATTGACTTGATTCAGTTCTATCATATTTTCAGAATTAGAAAACCTCTCTTTGAAACTCTAGATGGTATTATGAGCTTCTAGAGCCTCAATCAGGGCTATGGATTCAAATCCAGCAACCGGATCTTTTTGGTGGTTTCTCTCTAAATCTGATCACAAGGCAGGAATCGAGAATCCTGCATACTTGGGAGTTGCAGGATCGATTGCTTGCCTCACTTTCTTCTTCTGTACTCATGAAATTGGTTGCAGAAGTTCATGGCAACACTGGGAAACTATTCATAATCACTTTCATGCTAAATGAAAGCTTGAGCTTGGCATCTGTGCATGAAGTATGCAATGCCAAAAAAGTAGATTGACCGACTGGTGAACTTTTCTTGCAAATAAAAAAACTAACTAACTCTCTCACCACTGGGATCTTTACAGGGCATTTATATTTTAAATCATATGGTTAGCATTCAATTGGAGGATTAGATATGATGATAGGGTTGACTATTGACTGTTATAAAAAATTAGTGTTATATTCAGTTGAATGAAATTTTCAAAGTGATAAAGTATGGATTATAATTCTAAAACTGGGAAACTATTCATAATCACTTTCATGCTAAATGAAAGCTTGAGCTTGGCATCTGTGCATGAAGTATGCAATGCCAAAAAAGTAGATTGACCGACTGGTGAACTTTTCTTGCAAATAAAAAACCTAACTAACTCTCTCACCACTGGGATCTTTACAGGGCATTTATATTTTAAATCATATGGTTAGCATTCAATTGGAGGATTAGATATGATGATAGGGTTGACTATTGACTGTTATAAAAAATTAGTGTTATATTCAGTTGAATGAAATTTTCAAAGTGATAAAGTATGGATTATAATTCTAAATAAAAGAAAGCATGTGAAACCAAACTAAAAGGAAAGACTCGCCTTTTCCATCCTTTTGATTATTTTCTCACGGGTTTTTTCCTGTTTCTCTGTAAGTTGTCCTTTGTATGACTGCCACGTTACTTCTTCAGCATCGTCCTGAAATTTGAATCCATCAAACTAATGAATCAGAAGACATAAATACTAAATAGCTCACTCGAATTTTAACAGAAAAAGG